CCCTGCTGAAGGCCCTTTGGAAGCGGTTCATTAACTTGACTGAACTAAACTTCCTAGTCATTGATGAAGCTGACACTATGTTTGACGAAAGCTTTGCAGGCATGCTTGAGAATATTCTTTCGCATACCAAGGTGGCATCCAGGCTTTCTGATACGGTTGGGCTCGTCCGTAAAGCTCAGCTGGTCGTGGTGGGAGCCACATTTCCGGGTGGCGTAGGAGAAGTGCTCAGTAAGGTGACTGACCTGGCCAGCATGGTGACCGTTAAAAGCCGCATGCTGCATCATCTCATGCCGCATGTAAAGCAGACGTTTCTCAGGGTCAAAGGTGCAGACAAGATTCTAGAGCTTCACCAGGCCCTGAAAAAGGCCGAAATGGAGCACAAAGGCGTTTTGGTGTTCTGTAATTCGGCTTCCACTGTCAACTGGCTGGGCTACTCATTGGAGGAAATGAGTGTTCGCCATATGAGGCTACAGGGACAGATGCCTGCGACTATGAGAGAAGGAACCTTTAGGAACTTTCAAAAAGGGAGTGTTGATGTTCTAATATGCACTGACATCGCTTCAAGAGGTTTGGACACACGGAGAGTTGGACTTGTCGTCAATTATGACTTCCCTGAGACCCACACAGATTACATCCACCGGGCAGGGCGCGTGGGGAGAGCAGGTGGCTCCGAGGGAGGGGAGGTGCTGAGTTTCGTTACACAACCGTGGGATGTGGAACTTGTGCAGAGAATAGAGACAGCAGCCAGGAGGAGAACATCTTTACCAGGAATGGAATCAGAAATTCAGAAACCCAGCCATGAAACAGATTTTAAAGAGATGTAGGAAAATGAATAAATGAAGATCTACACATTAGCCTTCTAAAACAATGAAATGTTTATTGTTTATTTGTTGTATTAAAACTTTAAAATAAACATGTAAAGAACAGTTTGTTCTAAAGCTTATGTTCAATTTTTTTTACTAGACATCTTAAAGGGATAGTTCACCTTAAACTCTGACTT